GGAACAATGACAGGTATGACGTCTGCCTTACTAAAGACTGGAGCACTCACTGCTGGATTGGCCTTCGAATAATTCTTCTTTGTGACTCCATTACTTGGAACTGTTAAGGAATTGGCCAGTGCTTTTACACCAGAGTTTACACTGATCTTGCGAGGGGTACCAGGTACAGTTCCTATGGCTTCAACCAGAACCAGGCAAAAGGTCAGGAGCATGTATTCTGTATCAAACTAACAAGAATAGAAACAAAATGAAGAGACATATTTTTTCAAGTACAGAGCTAGTCTATTTTGAATTGACCACACTTCGGAAAAAGCACATCCCAAGATATGGAATAAGTACTTTTAGGTGGCGGGGTGGGAGCTCCCTGAAATGGATTTGTCTAAGTTGAATTTAATCCATAGATATGCTGACTTTTGATTTTATAGAATCAAGTTTGCAGATATGACAAAAGTATAAACAGCCATGGCCCATGGCAGATTTACAAAATAAGGGTTCAGTTCATCAAATAATATCTCTTTGTTGTGTGCTTAACTTCAACAACTTTCTCAGTCCCTCACCAAAATTACAACTTGTTCAGGAATCTTGAAGGTGAAGTTAGTTCCTGGACCATGATACTAAGTACTAACTGCGAAACACACATGACAGGCAGCACCTGAATCTCCCTCACCAGAGTTTTCCTTAATCAGCACGTAGGCCAGTTCAGATAGTTGCAAAAGTAAATTACTCCAAAGGAGATTTAATTTAAGTTCAAGAAGATAAAGGTTAATTTATGTTGCTTTACTTAAAAGGTTGTTGTCTAGATTATTTCACCCAGCTTTAGATTAAGTAGGAGAAAGGGAAGGTGAGACGCCAGCAAGCATGCTATTCTTATGAATGAAAAAGATCAAATCAAATATGAAGAGCTTATCAAGACATGATCACAAAAAGAAATAATGAAACCAAATAATATGTGAAAGTAACATACATGTTATAATCTTTGGCTCTTTGGGTGAATCCTTATTGGTATCAGAATTGTGAGAGACTGATAATCTCCCAAGCGACTTGGTTTCGATTACCAAAGAGCTTTCACCTTGTGAAACTGACACCCTGCCCAAACTTGCTTTTGCAGTGTTCTCAGTTAGTATTGATTTATTCCCAGTTCCACTGGCTTTAGATTCAACATGGCTATTGAACCTCTGAGAACTGCTAAGTGCAGATGACTCTGTGTGCTATCAAGACAGAAAACAGTAAATAATACAATAGACTGAAGTCCAGCTGAAAACAATCGAGATCCAGAAAATATCCAAGGTATGCCATACCGAGATGTCCGCAACCCATACTCCTACGCAACTTTGATTGTAAGAACAGCCCAGGAGCTTTCCATCATTATTAACATGAAGATCTGACAATCTGGACCATCCCACATCAACGGCATCGTGACATCTTATCGGCTCCCAAGAGAAAGCCTACATGAAAACAAGCGGAAGCTGATAACCACAAGAGGAGCATTAAAACTACCATAATCAACCCTAACTGACAAATTGCAAAAAAACATACCTTCAGACTTTCCTGATAACCACAGAGGACGGTTCGTCCATCAGGATTAAAGGTCAAACAACGTACTCCACTCGCCTTAATAAAATAGAACGGTTAGAAAAGGATTTGTAAGAAGGCCATACATGACCTATTTTGATAATAGCAGGCATTGCATAGAGATCAAATTACCTCTGGACCAGCAGAACCAATCAATTCAAAGGTTTCAAGATCAAAGAACTTAACAGTTCTGTCGGCAGATCCTAGACAAGGAAAGAAAATAAAGGTCAAGAAAAACACATGAAAAAACTAACAACGGTCACTAATTATTATTCCAATCTGGAAAGGACATATCAACGATCAACTGAGATAAGCTGACAGAAACTTATACCTGAATACCTGATTGTTACCCTAGCAGAAATAATGAGATCATTTCAAACAGAAATTGAGGCACAGGTATTTCAGAGGTGAGCCTTGATTGAACTTTCAAAATCAAATGAAAAATGACAAGGTCCAGCAATAAAATAAAGCTAACCTGTAGCTAAAAGGAACTCATTGGGATGGAAATCTATGCATTGGATCTGGCCATCATGACACTTGAACTCGTGCAATAGCTTCCCAGCAGTCAGATCCCACAGCTGCTTAGATAACACAAATGGCCAACTAATCAATTAAATGCCTAGAACCGATCTTGAAAGATATGTTTCTATTTTCAGCTACATATAGCAATAATATAGGCATACGAGTATTCAGCCTCTAAATGGCGTTAAACAGTCTTTAATGTGATGATATTATACACAGTTACATATTAAAATAAAGAGCCTAGTGCCAGTTTACCTACACAACACTGAAATATATACAAGAACTTGCAGTTGTTGTTATAGACAGAACAATCTCAAACTCCACAATCCATCTCCTATTGTAGTTGACATGATTAGACGCACAAAAGAAGGCAAAAAGTTAAAATCCATATCAAGTATATGAAACAAAGATAAAAGAGCTAAGGTCTATCGTAGCTGCACCATCACAAGCAAAAGCTTATTTTCTGGTGCGAAGGCCAAACGTAGAAGAAAATAAAAGTAGATATGGAATTTGTCTAAGCATGTTAGAGAAGAAGGGATAGTAAAGTAACTACAACCTTCACAGTGTTGTCCTGTCCGCCAGATACTACCCAGCGACCATCTGGAGTGCATCTAACTGCATTGACCCCTCTAGTGTGCCCCTTGTAAGTGTGGATAGAACCACCCTTCTTCCTAATGTCCCATATCTTAACGTTCGTATCTGAAGAACCAGATACAAAGAACTCTCCGAAAGGGTGAAAGTCCACGGATATACAGTTGGACATATGTCCCCTGAGGGTACGGACAACTGGGAGGAAAACCAAACAACAAAAAGGATACGTCGTCAGTTACAAGCTGAGATGGACGTACAGTCATGTCCAAGCCGGCATGAGGGTGCATCATCATAAATTTCATGGAACAAAAACATACTCTTTGCCTCCTCTAAATCCCATAGTTTGATTGTACCACTTGCAGACCCCGCAGCCACTAAGACTTCGGAAGAATCAAAATTGACTGAATCGATCCCACTATTATGTCCCGACAGACTCTGCACATTGATCATTCCAAAACATCAAGTGGACTGGACCAGACCAACAGATACGAAGCAGCGTGGAATTGCTGGAAGCGAAATGCAGTAAGAATGTGAAAAAGTCAAGGAAGCAGCTAGTTGCGAAGAGCTCACCAATATTGCATTGGGTTTGCCAATAGCCCACAGATTAACCTTGTGATCTTCACCTCCAGTGACAAGAATCCTAGACGATTTCCTCCCAATCTTGAGACAATTCACAGCCGAAGTATGTGCCACAAATTCCTCTTTCAAGGAAGTAAAACCCGCGGTCAAGGAAATGAATTTAAAAGGAAATAAAGTAATGCATATGAGATCACCGGCCATTTACAGGGACTGGAAAAGGATACGGAGCTTGTAGGCGCGTTTGGTAGTCATGGTCGCGCCGATGAAGAAGAAGCAATGAGGACCAAACAGTGCAAATTAATAGAGCGAGCTTAGAAATGGAGTAGCGGCAGCAGGCTGCTTCTTCTTCTTTTTCTTCCTCTTGGCTCTTGCCCTTGTCATTTATCACTCGGAACACATTGCCACTTTACCAGCAAGCAATCCATCACATACTAATCAGATCTCGATTATCCCAAGTCGCCTCCGCCGCCCGCCGCCGTTTATCATACAGCACTGTAAAATGAGAAACTGAGGGACGAAAAGGGAATCTACTAGCAAGATCAAAGGTAAAGCTACAGCATGAAGACATTGACAAGGTAAGGACTAAGGACCGAAAATGACCTAGGGAACGGTGGAGGAGGAGAGGAGGAAGAAGAAAAGCTTTCAAAGCAGTTGGAAGGTTGCTATTGCAGGAGCTAGCTGGCTGGCTGCCTGGTCGGGGTTGCCTACCGCCTTATTCCTTAATCCTTCTTTCCTTCCTTCTGCCAACTGCTTTCGTCGTTAATCGTTGCGAAGCCTTGTCTGGCTTCTTCTTCTCCTGCTTCCTTCTTCTCACTAAACAAAGTGTACTTAACGAAAGGAGAAGAAGGAAAAAGGTAAAATTAATTATGAGATGCAAGGGCCTTCCACTTCAATTTTTGAAATTAAATTTGACTGGTGGGAGGAACCGTTGTCGAAGGTAAAATAAAATGAGACGAAATGTGGGGGGAAATACAGAAGCAGCAGGGCCAGGCCCGGCGGATAGAATATTTGGGCCAGGCCATTTTCTACCTCCAAATCACGTTCGCACTCTTAGGCTCAGCCCAGTCCCAACTACATCAAATTACAGTTTTAAGAGCCCAAGTCTACTACTGATGGTCGATTGGTCCATTCCCTTGGCAAAGATTACTAGTCTCATATCTGGCGACTGGCATCTGCTCTTCTGGGGGCATTGATAATGTCACGGGCACGACTCCTTGGTTTTCAGTTTTCACAACCCCAGGAGACTAATGCAGCACCAAAAAATTGGCGAAAAAGTGGTACATTTTCATACATTGGCGAAGCAGTTTGGAATTTGGGTGTTAAATCCATCATCCAAATTCCACTCAATAAATGAAACAATACTGATATCTTTTATATATCCGGGGACTAAATGGAACTAAAACGATTGTATCATTAACCTTCTAAATCCAAGAGAGAGAGAGTCAGAGTCAGATGGGGAAGGGGAAGGGGCAAAACGTCCGGGGGAAGAGAAAGGTGGTTTCTCAGACAAAAAAAAAATGTGGGAAAGAAAAGGAAAGAAGCATGTCGCTGGTGAAGTGGAAATGACATCGGCCGGCGAGGCGACATGACAATTGAGAACAACAACACGGGAAGGGAAAAGCCGGTTTTCGTCCACTTTAATTGCCCCTTCTTCTCCCTCTCCACTTTAATTGCCGTATTTATTTTGATACGCTTGTTTTTTCTTATATAGTAATTGTTACCCCACCGGCCGACTGTCCTCGTCGTCTGCAGAGTCTCTCCCGTCGGACTCTCCTCAAATTTTTTTCCCTCCGGGATGCAAGGTACTTCCCGCCCTCCTTTTTTGCTGTTGCTGTTAATCTATCTTCTCTCTTCAGTATTCCCGACCACTTGCATTTAGATTGTCTTCTCTCTTCAGAGTGTATCCCAATCCCAACTACTTAACTTTGTTGCTGGACGACTTGAAATTGAAGGTATATAGTCAAGAGCTGGTGGGTACAGTATATGCATGGTCAAAATTAGCGAGAAAAAGAAAAACACGTAGATGAAGCGATCGTCAATACTCGATAATTACTTCGTTTGGTGAGTTTGCTGATGCAAAAGGTCTTTTAACTTTTTGTAATTCTGGGACCAACTTAATGCAACAGCAGCAACCAAGCAATGCAGCATATTGCATACACAGCGGCGACCGAGCTGAGAGTTCTTTTTTGGAATATAAATGGTAATTTTTTTATCATCAAAACGCGCGTGTGTCCCGAATCCGTGTCTATATGTGGCAAATAGATTGGTAGATTGAATTGGTTGATCAAATGGATTCAGGGGCGGAGCTACAGCTGCTCTTGTTCTGAGGTTACGTATAAGCTCGACGGTGTTTAGAAAAATTTCGTATGAACTAAAATGGACTTATAAATATATTATTGTTTTGTTGTATAATATATGAAAATTCACTTAGTCTAGCGGACGGAATGCTCAAGTGTTGAAGCATTTCTTTTATTTTTTTTCACCAGTTTTGATGGGTTTTTTTTACGATATCCAGTTTTGATGTTGTTGAACCATTAAGTTCTTCTGCTTACAAAAATTCAAGAATACTTTTGGATAGTTGATGAGTAATTTTTTCTCCAAATATTTATATAAGTACACACTCAATTTTCAATTCCAAAAATATGATGGATTATACAATATTGCAATGCATTCTAAATCTGTTTATTTTATTTTAACTTTATATCAAACTTTAAGTGATAATATGACATGGTCGTCATTAATTTTACAATTTGAAAATAGGATCATTGAAATTCATTATTGTATTGTTATTAATATTAATAACAACGAAAAAATTCATGATTAATTAATTTATTTATTTTGAATTTATATTGAACCCACCATACTACAAATTTTTAGTTTAGATCTTATGTTGAGTGTTTTAACATCTTAAAAAGTGCAGTTATCATAATATTAGAAATAATTTACCTTTTTATATTTTGATTAATTTTATTGCCTTTATGCCCTAACATAATAAGAATTTTCGGCCCCCCCCGAACGCCAAATTCTGGCTCCGCCTCTGAATGGATTGATGAATTGAGTCATGGATTCAAGTGACATCCAAATATTGGACGAATATAAAAATTTTGAAAAGTTCAAATGCTAGCTAAAATATTAAAATAAAAAAAAAAGGTACGAACTTGTAAAATATAAATATATATAAGTACTAAATTATAATTTGCCAGCAATCCATAAATCCAACAATCAAATAGATTTGGATAAAATAGATTGAATTCGTTAGATATTTAAGTGGATGGATTGTTTTAGATACAAATTTGTCACCACTCTGTGTTACTCTTTTATATCTGCTGACTCTTTGATTCGTCATTCAAAGTTGATGTTGCAGCACCATAGTTTTTGTTCTCCATTTGAACACCATTGTGGGTTCTTTTGTTCCTGACTAGTTTGGCTTGAGATATTTAATTTGTTCGTTCTTCTGCAGCAGCTAAGATGAAGGGAGGTGGTTCCAAAGTGAAGGTGAAGGGTCGAGATTTAACTTTCATCTTAATCGTGCTTGTATGCACAACCATCATTATGCTGTCATGGGAGAGAACCCCAGTGCTTCTTTCCGCCTCACTTCTTCCTGCCAAAGATCTCTTCTTGTCTTTCCTACCAAGCATCCAGTTTGCAGGTTACTTAATAACTTGCCATTGTTGCTTCATCAGTGTCAGTAGTGACGACTTCTAGCTAGCTAGTCTGTTATCTACCCATGTCACCAACACAAGAATGTATTTATCGTCCCTGACAGAGATATCGCCAAACTTAACTGATATGGAGAAGAAAGATAAAGTCGTCTTCACAGAAGCAGCAGGCGAAGAAGATCAAACTGCAGAAAAGGCTCCAAGTTTGAGAGAAGCTGCACAAGGAGATCCTAATCACAGTTTGAATATGACATCACAAGGAGCTGTTGACCAGAATACATCGGTAGTAGGAGATAAACAAGGTAACACTGAATTGCGAGCACTTGCTCTTCTGCATCAGAGTTTGAACTTGCTAATTTGCTTGCATATGGTCTCTGCATGCAGTTTGTAACTATGGAAAAGGGAAGTGGGTGAGAGATGACAACGTGACTTTATATTCTGGATTTGATTGCAAGCAATGGCTAGCACCAGGATGGGCCTGTCGGACGATGCCACGGACTGATTTTTCTTATGAGATGCTCAGATGGCAACCAAAAGATTGTCAGTTGCAGCGGTTCAACGGCGATGAGTTCTTGAAAAGGTCATTATATTCTCCTTGTGCTTTTTTCTGTACTCCATTCTGCACACAACAATCTGCAGAACTTTTAGCAGAATCGTATGAGTTTCGAGTTTGCTCGTCTCTGGCTCAGATCGATGTGATGCTGCTAGTTACGAACATCAATCTTATTATTGCTGAATTGATTTCCCATTGCTTGATTATCCAAATACAAACTACAATTTTTGTGCAGAATGATATACTGTATGTTGCTGTTGTGATAAGAGACACATGACTGTAACTGTAGTGCTACTGTTTTGGCTGTCAGCGAACCAACCACCTGGTCTCAATAACTCGAGTTGTTGGAAAACGATTTGTTTTTACTGTTAAATGAAAGTCGTGCAGTCTCTAATGCCATATTGGTGAATTAACCACTTTGTCCCAATAACTTGAGTTGTTGAGGAAGGGTATCTTAACCCTTTTAATCTCTTACATTGGCCTCTGAAACAGGATGCAGGGCAAGACCATAGCTTTCGTTGGAGATTCATTAGGCGGCGAGCAGTTCCAGTCACTAATGTGTATGATCACCGGAGGGTCGGAAAGCAACGACGTCCTCGACGTCGGAGCTGAGTACGGATTCACCATCCCTGAACACGGCCGTGTTGTCAGAAATGAAAACGGCCGTCCTGACGGGTGGGCGTACAGGTTCACCACCACAAACACCACCGTCCTGCATCACTGGTCAGCTTGCCTCTGCGACCTGGAACCGATCGTCACCGAGGATCCAAACAAGCGACACCACTACTACGCAATGCACCTCGATCGACCGCCATCGTTCCTGCGCGAAAACCTGCACCGCATTCACGTCCTGGTGATGAACACGGCCTACCACTGGACCCGGCAGAAGCTGATTCGGAACCGGTGGGTGATGCACGTTGGTGGCATCAGGAAGACCAACGAGACGCTGAGAACACTCGGGGAGGCCAAGAACTTCACGATTCACAGCGTTGTTGGTTGGGTGAACAGCCAGCTGCAGGAGAATCCGCAGTTGCAGGCTTTCTACCGGAGCATTTCTCCCAGGCACTTCTCCGGTGGGGATTGGAACACTGGCGGTTCTTGTGACAACACCACACCGAGGTACGTAGGAAAGGAGGTAGTGGAAGCAGTGTCAAGCGACCACGTCTCGAGGAGTGCGGTGCAGGGAACAGGGGTGAAGCTTTTGGATATAACGTCTCTGTCCAGTGTTAGGGATGAGGGTCATATATCGAGGTACAGCCTGACGGCGAAACCAGGTGTGCAGGATTGCTTGCATTGGTGCCTGCCTGGCGTTCCTGACACATGGAACGAAATCCTTGTTGCACAAATCAAATAAAACGGCTACTTGTGTAAGTTAGTTCCTCAGATTCATACAGTTAGTTAGTTGCTTTGGGGAAGAAGAAGAAGAAGAACCGATCCAAGCTCTTTTCGAGGCTGTGAGGAGAAGGTTTGGTTTGTGAATCAAAGGGGGTGACTTGGTAGTTAGGATTTTGATGCATTTAATCAACTTATGTATGTAATACTAATTAGATGTATTGTGTAGACGTATGAATTTGAAAAAAACATATTGTTTGTCTATCTACAGATTCACTGTGAAATGACCCAATTATCCCTCATTTACTTCTACACACTCCTAATTTTAGTTTTAATGATTTTATGTATCAAATCAATTAATTAAAAAAACTATACTCCACGTGACATTCCGACTTCACCCTTAATCAGTTTCCCCACGATGATCAGTTCTCTCTACTCCAGCCGCTGACGAGGAGATGTGGGGACCAACCAACGTCGACCCCGCTACCAAACTATAGCGAGCATAAAAATCTCTATCAGCCGAACCAAATATCTATCTTTAAAGGGGGGGGTTCACTTATATGTTCTTAGGGTAAATTGCAAGTTTGGTCACTGGGTTTACCAAAAAGGTTCATGTTTGGTCACTAAAAATATTTAACTCAATTCATGGTCACTAAAATTAGTTCAATAATCCGAATTTGGTCACTCTCCGTCCAACTCCGTTAACTTTAGCTGATGTGGCGGTCAAATCTCATAATTGACCGTTAATAAGTGATGTGGCAATTAAAAATTAATAAAATTGAATATTTTAATATTTTCACATCATCTTCCCAATGAATTAAAATAAATAAAACTGAAATAATAATTATAAATCCAATATTGAGATTTAACCTACCGGCAAAAATTTTGGCCACCCGTCTAGGACCTCCTCCCTCAGAAATCCTCACCAGGCGCAATACCTCCACTTAACTCAAACTCTCTTAGAAACCCCACCGGAACTCTTCTATACACACTAATTCACACTGTACCAAAACGAGAATCCCCACGAACCCATCACTCCCTCCTCTCTTCCAATTTCCACAACCAGGAGGAGAGCGGCGATGAGGAGGTCGGCGTGGCCGGCGATGATGATGAATTGATGATGACATCGAATTGTGAGGATTGGGGCGAACATGTCGGGCCGTGCCACCAGAGGTCCGGGAATATGATGGGTCCCGGTACGAAGTCTGGTTTCAGGTCGAGGAAAGGACCCAAACTTGCTGCTACTCTGAATTCTGGTGTGGTGGGTTTTCGCGGCGGGTCTGGGAGAAGAGAAGAGAGGGGACACGGGTGGTGGAGCAGTGGAAGCGGAAGTGGGTGGATTGTTGGGGAGGTTTGGATGCCGGAGATTGAGAGAAGAGAGGCAGCGGATGTCACAAGAGGCGAAAGGTTTACGAGATAAAGAAGGTGGAAGGTTTGATTATAATAAGGTCGGGGAAATGGAGGAAGTGGACAGAGTTTGACTCTGCATTTGTCACTACCAAAATTTGTCACTTTGAAATTGGAAAAACTAAAGGGAAAAGGGTGAAATAGATAGTGAATGAATTAGTGTGTAGAGTTGGGGTCTTGGAGGGGTGAGATATAGTGAAGGAGAGTTTTGGCGAGTTTCTGAGGAAATTTGAGTTTTGGGAAGTGAAGGAATTGCAGCCAGCCGCTGTTTTTGAGGGAGGAGGAGGTTCCGGGAAGTGTTTTCCGGTGAGGATAAGGTTATATATCAATTTTGGTATAATAATAATTATTTATACTTTATTTATCATGAAAAATTATATAGAAATAGTAAAATATTAATAAAAAAAATTAATTGCCACATCACGGTCAACTTTGAGAGTTGATCGCCACGTCATCTAAAGTTAACGGAGTTGGACAGAGAATGACCAAACTCGGATTATTGAACTAATTTTAGTGACCATGAATAGAATTAAATATTTTTAGTCACCAAACATAAACTTTTTTTGTAAACTTAGGGTTCGTTTGCTTGTTGGATTTGAAAAATGAGATTTTTGGCTCAAAAAAACCTTTGGGGGTCGTTTGGATTAGTGAATGTGATGAGGGATTTATGAGTGATTTTAAAACAATCTCTCGTTATGCAGGATTTTAAAACAATTCTGCGTTTGGAAAGGTGAGAGATTGTGGGCATGAGGAAATTCTAAATCTCTCATATGAGAGTTTTTAAAATAGCTGATGGGGATCAGCTATTTCACAATCACTCATTTTTTCTCATTCTTTTCCAAACTCTGCCCCTCCTTTTGTTCTTCCTTTCTTATTCTTCCTTAGGGATTAGGGATGGGTATAATTGTAACTTTAATTTTTAATTAAAATCCTTCATCTATTCCCAAACATGTTATTTGGATCAAATCCCACGTTTAAAATACCTGGGTTTTTAATTGAGAGATTTTAATCCAAATCCCTCATTTACACATTCCCTAATCCAAACGACCCCTTGGATTTATGAGGGATTTGTACCATCATGGATTTGAAGAGTCTATTGTTTGCATGATAGGTTTGATGATATAATTATAATGGATTTGCTATAAATATAACTAGCCATCAAGGATTTACAAATCCCACCCCAATATGTGGGATTTACAAGTCTGTGGGGTCCACGGATTTGGATCCAAAAAAGGGAATAAATCCGTGGACCCCACAGATTTAACACCTGACAACAAACAATGGACTTGGCTAAAATCCATCATGCTTGGGATTTGAGTCCTAAATCCATGACCCACATCCATCAAGCAAACGACGCCTTAGTGACCAAAGCAATTTACCCTATATTTTTAATTTGGGTGCCTTTTGGAGTATCTAAATTCTCTTTTTCTTTCTGTTTTTTGTTAGTTGGGAAATAAATACGACATTGTAAACAAGAATCTACAACTGGAAGTCTTGATGTGCATCTGGAGAAGGCGATTTAGTCTCTTCTTAAAATTCGACTTACATCTGGTAGGAGGTGAAGAAACACTGTATGGGTCTGGTCTTGCCGACTGGTTTTCTCTACTCCAGTCGCAGGCAAGTAGATGTCGCAGACTAATGATCAGGGGAGACAGATGCTTTATGGTTGAGTGAGTGTGAATTAGATTAGGGGTTGGATTTTTTTAATTAATTGATTTGGGATATAAAATAATTAAAATCAAAATTAGGAGTGTTTAGGAGTAAATGATGTGCAATTAGATCATTTCACAACCCATTTAACAACCATTTAACAGAAAATTAGATGGAAGGGTAAACTCGTTACGTTTTAATATTAGAAGGGTATGTTTGTGCAAAAATTTAATAGAGTGGTATGTTTGTTAATTTATGAAAGTAGAGGGTTACAAAATTTTATTAACCACATAATAAATTATTCTCGTGGTTTCACCTTATGCTAAATACATGTACTTTGTTTCATTTTAATGCAAAGAATGATGAATTCTACTGATTACATGAGTTATCTGAATACATCATCTGAAATCTCAACTTTCAAACGGCCTCCTTAGTTCCATTGTCGATTAACATGAACGGTAATGAACTTTGTACACACGGTTGATGGAAAAACGAACCAAGGGCACCTTATAAATACGTGGTTTGGGCACGATGTAATTTGTAATATGTGATAGGGGATAGTTATCTGGAACTTAAAATTTTGATTGATTCATTATAATATTTGATTTGACTATCATTTGGTGGGCAAGTGGTGCACTCGTACCGTACTACACCGCATCGCATGTCTTTTGGATCGCATCGTCGCATATTTGATTGTTATGTAATATGCATTATGTATAATTGAATTGACAAATTTGAATTCAGAGGTATCTAGACCAAATTGATGTCATTCTGTTTACCACTAAAAAAATCAGTTGATACCACATTGATTATTTTCAAGGAGTATTAGTGGTTTTAAGGTAAGCTTCCCCATATTTATTAAATTGGTTTAAATTGGGCCTAAATGATGGTATTTAGGGCTTAATACATGGTACCTCAACACACACCCATTGACCCACCAAACACCCACCTTTCAAACATGACATCATCCAAGGGGGGTCAAGCATGATGTCATGGAAGGGGGTCAAGCGTCGACCACCCAAATAGGCATGGTGGAGGCAAAATTTGACTAAGTGTTGAGACTCAATCACAGAGGGGGGGGGGGGGGGGTCAAGCATGACATCATCCGGGGGGGTCAAGCATGGTGTCATGCCAGGGGAATCAAGCACCAAATACCATGGGCGCCTGCCTACCTTGCACTAATCGAGCATGATGTCGTGCAGGTGGGCATCGCGAGTACTAGTCGTGATGGAGAAAGAAGGAAAATTTTGGGACCCAACCACAAGGGGGTCAACATTACATCATCCAAAGGGGGTCAAGCATGAAGTCATGCAAGGAGAGTCTCGCAGTCAAGCATTTAGCCACCTACGTACCAACCACCAGGGGGTCAAGCATAAGGGTGTCAAGCATGATTCCATGCCAAGGGGGTAGACACAATGCACCCTCATCCCCAGTTGTCGGGAATGCTAGGCTTTATGGGTAGTCATGCATGGTACCTAGTAGACAAGGTCATCAAGTTTCTACGTGTCAGCCATGTATATCATCACATGGTAGACCACCTTGTCAAGATCTTGCAAGCATGATGCCGCCCCAAATGGGGTCAGTATGCATCCATCAACCATCCAAGCATCCTGGTGTCAAGCATAACGCCATGCAAGGGTGGTCAACATGAGTACCGCGAAGGCATCAAACATCAAGATGAAGACAAGCGAGATACCTGCACTACACAATGTGACTACCTGCCAAGTGAAGTCATCAATCCATCAAGAATTCAAGATACCAAGTGATCAACAGGCAGGCAAGGTTGGTTAAGACATCAAGCACCAAGCATGGGAGGCAGCGGTTACAAGGAATGGCTATAAATAGGGGAAACGAAGATGAAGCAAGGGTTCCACAACCAAACATTTGACGCGCAATGGCAAAATTTATCCTTTCTCTGCAGATTAGCTTTACCCTTTAGTTTTCCGATTTCTCACTGAACCTCCATAAAAGTAGAAGTAATCAATGTAGCTTGTTCCCGAAAAACCATCAAACATCAAACACCCTTGTTCGAACATTGTTCGGAGAGGTGTGAAACCGTGTTGAATTTCGTTATTCAAAAAGTCAAGGTGCATTTATTGAATTCAAACACAAGAGTTTTCCTCGCCGGAAAACACACTCGTTTTCTTTTTCCTGTGTTATTTAATTTCTTGATTATATGGTATATTTTAGAATACATTTTAATGGTACCATCAATGGAAGTTCGTGACCTTGAGGAATTGCGACCATTTTTGGAGGGACTTTTCAGCATACCAGTTTTGCATCACGTGGGATCCCTCTGCCCTAACATCTTCAGTGACCATTCTAGCGAGTCGTGAGGTTGCCATGGGGACCCGTTACCATGCAACTTCGGGCAGCGCCTCATAATTGACGACTGACGAAAGGCTAAATAAAAATTTAATACGGTTTTTGCTTTTGAACTGTAACCGCGCAGTTTTGCATTAACCATACCTCGAGACCCTAAAAATTCAGAACGCATATTAGATCGCAAGTCTTACTGTTTTCCGGCCAGAAAACTTGCATTGAAACGAATTGAATGCACCTTGAGTTCTTTGGACAACGATCACTAAACACAATTCACGCCTCTTCAAACACAGTTCGAACGAGGGTGTTCGATGTTTACACGACTCTCGAGACAGATCTCTACATTAAGTTACCCTACTCCTATGGAGGTTCTGTGAGAGCTCCAGATCTACGACTACTGATAAAAATTGCAGAGGAAAGATAAAATTCATAAAACTTGACAAATGGTGTCGAGTGGTGATTTTTGCGAACCCCTCCTCTTTCAACTCCTCCTCCTATTTATAGCCTTGAGATGATAACCGTCGTAGAACTGTCTTAGAGTAACTTCCAAAAAGAACTGCTCCCCTTCTTTCTCGGGCGTGGCTGACGTGTCATTGTACGTGGGATGATCGGCAGTTGCTCTGTTAACCGTCTACTCTTCATCTTGGAAATTTCGTCTTGTTACTTGCCTCTCCCACATGGCCTGCCTTCTTGCTTCCAACTTGTTAGTTCAGAATCTTGGACATGGTCTAGTCTCACGATGTGGTCTAGATATCACGACCCCGTCGGGCTCTAGATTTGATGCCAATGCGGTCTAGATCTCGCGACCACGTCGGGCTCTAAATTTGACGCCAACACGGTCTAGATCTTGCGACCACGTCGAGCTCTGATTTTGATGCCAATGCGGTCTAGATCTCACTACCACGTCGGGCTCTACAACTCGCGATGAGACTAGCTCCCTCTTGGAGACTTAGTAGCTTGGGGCTTAAAACTATTATCATGAGGCTCAGTTCAAATAACATTAATTGTCATTAATGATCTGGCCTTACAAACAAAATAAATGCCTTGTAAATAATCAATGCGGTACATGATTATTTTTTAGGTGTAAACAAATGCCCCCAACTACTTCGTGCATAAGAATTATGGACTAAGTAGTTGAACACCACCATGCTAGCCAAATAAGGGACGTGATACAATAACAACACTCTATCTGTTGTTACAGTAACAACCTGATTCATTAAGGGCAAAACTGTAAACTTACAATAAAAATAACAATTAATCAGATCCCAAAATCCAATTCCCCTCCGCTCTGTTCTCCTTCTCCACGCTGGCGTTCTCCTCCGAGTCCGACTGCAGTCTATGAGATTCCCAAATTCCAACTCTCCTCCGGCGGAGAAACCCTACTCCGGCGCCGGCGAATATCAAGTACACAGGGGTTGGATCTCCTTACACCGACCAAAATAATTCCGCCATTCTTTCTCCGTCCAGAGCTTCACGACAACCAGCGACAGCAGCAACGGCCACAAAGAGAAGAGATAGATGGAGTTCGCGACGGTAGCGGCAGACGGAAGTGACGGTGGCGGAAGAACGGAGAAGGCGGGAGAGTGGTAAGCGGCAGGGGAAGTGACAGATGTTCTCGATCGCAATCTGGAACCCGTAGAAGGCTCTGGCCTCGGCGACTTGCACTTCCTTCATGAACCGGCCGATTTTGTGGAGCCGCTCCGATTGCTGCATTTGCCAGAACGGGAGGAGCTTCCCTTCGAAGAAGAGCTCGTCGGCGGTCAGCATCTTGGCGTGCCCCGCCGCCGCCACCGGCCCGGTGTTGGAGAGGAACTCGAATTGGAGATCCGCAGCGGTTCGAATCGGCGATGGGGATAGGGGAGGTTTCTGGTTTTGGATTTCGCGGGGGCGGTGGTTGGGGCTGATGGAGATGAAGTTGTTCTCGTCGAGGAATTCGGAGGAGAATGAGATTCTAGGGCTTGATGTCGGTTGATCCATGGTGGTGGATTTATTGACTGCTGGTTGAACTGTTTCCATAGAAACCATTTCAGTTTTGTTTTTTACTTCGTGAGAAATAATTTGATGGAGGAAGAAGAAGGGAGGAACGAAGGAAGGAAGGGAAACTGAGAAGTGGGGTTTGGTGGTGAATGGGGGTTTGGGGCCAGGAGCGGCTCTTCTAGGATGGACAACATATTTGAGGGATTTTTTTAGGGTTTTGGAGATGGGGAAGAAGGGGGATTCGAAATTTGATTGTTGGATTTGGGGATTTTTTGGTCACTGGTACGGTTACTATTAGCAATTTGAGTGTTTATCTCTTAATTGATTTGGAATATAATTGAAATTTGATGTTTTAAGCACATCAGCAGAAACTTTTTTATACAAACCACGAACACGATAAAACAAATAAAAAAAACACACCTAAAATCTCATAATGCAAACCACAAACACGATAAAGTAAACTACAAAAACAAACCTGTAACATCCTAATGCAGACCAAAAATCTATTAAAGCAAACCAAAAACCTCATAAAGCAAACCACAGAATTTTCAAAAACACACCAGAAACCTTATAATCCAAACCACAAACACGATAAAGCAAACCACACAAACAAACCAGAAACATCCTAATGCAGACAAAAAATCTATTAAAACAAACTAGAAACCTCACAAAGCAAACCACAGAATTTTCAAAAACACACCAGAAACCTCATAATGCAAACTACAAACACGTTAAAGCAAACCACAAAAAAGCAAACCATAAACGTTCTAATGCAAACCACAAATATATCAAAACAAACCAGAAACCTCACAATGCAAACCACAAAGTTTTTGAAAGCAAACCAGAAACTTCTCAATGCAAACCACAAATACGATAAAGCAAACCAGGAACTTCGTAATGCAAACCACAAACGCGATAAAGCAAACCACAAAAGGCATACAAAAATGTGAGAAACCAAACCATAAATCTCACAATGTAGACCATACATCTGGTGTTCGTTGACCAAACTCCGATGACCGTCAGTGACCAGATTCCGGCGCCGATAAGCATATTCCGGCCCCGGTGACTAGATTCCGATGCCGGTAATCATATTCCGACGCCGGTAAGCATATTCCGGCGACGGTGAGCATATTCCGATGACAAAATAGCATATTCCGGCGACAAAAAGCATATTCCGGTGACCGGCGACTAGATTCCGGCGACCGGTGACCGAATTCCGACGACCAAATTTTTGGGCAGAAAATAAAAAAATATTTTTTTATTTTTATTTTTTTATTTTTATTTTTTATTATTTAAACAGATTTTTCATAATGACAATTATACCCCTGCTTTGATTTTACACTAGGTCAACTAATCTAATAAAAAATCATCACAATCCTAACTTCCTATTGGTTGGAGACTAGTGTTGTTATAATAACAACACAAAAGGTGTTGTTATACTAACCGGTCCCGCCAAATAACGTGTTGGCTTATTAACACACCAATTTTACTTGGCCAAAATTTTGGCTTTCACTGTAAAGCCACCACAAGTAGACAAATAAGGAGAGATAATGGCGTCAACTCATCTCTTTCTAAGATATCTACTCGTCATCCACCAAACATACATCTGCTTATAATATCCTAGCCATATTTGGCTCAACAAAACAACAAATCATTTGATCCAACCACATGACTAATTAATCTCTTTTTGCTAGATGATACCCATGACCATCTTATTAGTTTTGGCCAAAACATTAATAATGTAATGAATTTATAGTCCCAATCTCTCCCTTTTGTTGCCGATTCAGAGATAGGGAGGAGGGTAGACATGAAAAACTCATAATTGATTCACTTTCCACCAATGTGTGGCCACATAAACTCAATCGGCACAAATTCGCCACCAAACCATTTTACATCTGCCCTCCCCTTGTCTGTCCCGGCGACTGTCTTAACGAAGTTTCAAAAAAAATAAAAAAAATATTTACATGGCCAGCCAGCTTTCCATGGCCAACGCCAAGCCCTCTTCTTTTCCTTGTCAATCTCGGCTGCAATACTGACCGAGAAGCCTCTCCCTTTTTTATCGCATTTTCCTTACTTGAACTGGAGAAGGACTTAAGTCTCATTGTCCTTATGGGATTCTTTTTCCACCAAATCCTCTTCCAAAACAGAAAAAGATCCTCCAAATCTACTCCCCATTAACTCTATAAATAGAGGCCACTCCTCTTCATTCTTTTCATCTTCACTCACACAAATCTCCATAGAGTTCTCAAGAGTGGACGTGGTCTTCATCAAGCAAATCAAAGTGAGAGAGCCATCTCCCTCCGCATCTAGTGGCCGGCGGCCACCTTAAATTTTTTTCAATTTTTTTCTTTTTAGACGTGACACTCGCATTCCTCCGGTGTGGCTTTGTAGGATGTCAAACAAAAAAGAAGAGACTGGCCGAAAGATACTCGAGGAGGCTACTCGTGTCTATCAACAAGAGCATGATCTTCTCGCCCAAGACAAAGGAGTCTCTATGCACACCTTGGTGATTAACAACGACGACGTTGGTAGATTAGGTCCTTACGTGATCCAGGCACGAAGTGGTCCTGTAAGCCGACTTGATCACTACCCTCTCGGTCAAGGGAGACTACTATACAAGATGAATCTTCCTCCCATGGCATTCTTCGCTCCCAAGAAGCGTTCCAAAAAACTAGTGAGTTCCTAGCATCAGAATGACGCAGACTTCACGGATGGTTCGAACAGCTTCAGGAAGATTTGAAAACAACTCGCTTGTGGACGAGCTCTAGTATTTGGAGACTGATATCCCTCTGCACCGAAATTGGAGAGCCAGACTTTGCTCTCTTCAAGGAGGCCTTGTGTTTCTGGTCCACCGCCTCTAACTGCTTCGTATTCCCAATTGGAACCATGACGATTACCCTTATGGACGTCACTGCTCTAGCCGGTCTTGGTTTTGAGTCAGCAACCACGTCTCGCCTCATGATTCCCCAGAAGATACCGCCCTTCCCGCATATGTCTTACCAAGCTTTTCACCAACAATATCAGCCTTCCGATGCCAAAGCCCCGGTGACACAAGAAGAGCGTGCAACATTCATTCACTTTTGGCTCTATAAGTTCATCATATGTCCTAGCTCAGGTGTACCTCGTCAATCCTTGAGTGATCTTTCCCGTAGACTTGCCACGGGGTGGTGTGATCATGACTTTGCAAACTTCATACTAGCTCATATTTACCATGGTATGCATACACTCCATCACCAAATTTCTACCGATGCTACTACAACTGGTTCTGGCCCTTTATGGATTGTGCTCCTATGGATCTACGCGTACTTCCCAGGGCGACGTAGTTATCTCGACAGTCTAGAAAAAGTTTACCAAGATCAACTGCCAGATTCCTATGGCCACCACTTCATCACGGCCAAACCGCTGGATCGAGACTTTGTCGACTGCTTCTCATACTTTCATCGGCTCAGCATGATACCCACATTTTCTCCTTTCTCGCTGCGTCTCCTTGGATGCAAATCTTTTACAACCAAATTTAAGGAGAGACCACAGAGTCCCTCGAGGCCCTACGAAAAATTTATTCGTCAATGGAAGAGATGGGTACAACCTTGAGACCTAGTGTTCACCCCCATTGGCGCCAAGTTCCCGACCTCCGAAGTCTACAATCCTCACTATGCTTCTCGCCAATTCGGCCTTGTCCAGTCGTGACCTTTGACTATGCCACATTCACCTCAACTCGTCAATCCCACCGGTCGCAGAAACTTGAATAGTGATGAAGCACACAATTTGAAGTTATGGAAAGACATGCTCATATCAAACGTCGAATTTAGCCCCTTCAGTTATTCTGAGAATCAGACTTCAACGATCTTTTCCAAATTGCTCCCAAACCGACTGGAGGCATTTGTACTCTTCAATGGTGATGCGGTTCAAATAGCACAAAGCTTACTACCAATAAAACTAACGGCTATTCCCCGGGGAAGCCATTTGTCATCTCTCGACAAACAAGACAAGGGAAAACAGCAGTCTACATCCAAAGTAGTTGTCAAGCGCAATTTATGTAAGTGGCCTCCTAATTCATCCTTAGCCCCTTTTCCTCCTTCTTTATTTCATACGTATGTGGCCTCTTTATATCTTCAACCTGCTTTCTTTACAGCACTTAATGAAAATGAATCCCCACCAAGGCCACCAAAACTTATCCAACCCCAAGAGAGTGAACAAGTGTCAAGCTCCATCTTATACTCCTAACGTGGTACTATTCATCCCACCTTTTCTTACTAGTCTCCATCATGTCATTTGTAGTCACAAACGATGGAGCTGAATGAGGATTCCGAAGATACGGGCATGGAGAACTATGAAGAAGTTGGTGACAAGGCTGGCCAGCCAATTAGCTTGGAAGATTCAGACTCTTACGCCGACTCCTCTAAAACAGGTTTTGAGGATCACGAAGAGCCTACTCGCTCCAACCCTCAACTCGTCACTAGCCAAGCAACTAGCCCTCTAGCCATTCCCACGATGAAGCCAACTACAACTCAAACCCCTCCTGACAAACTCGGCTTTGGGAGCTTCGTGACTAGACATCTCATGAACTCAGAAGGCACAAGTGTTGTCGTGGTGTCTCTAGCCAGAATGCCTTTGCTTTAGTCCCAAACCCCATGGTTTCTACCCTGGCCAATAAAGAGACTATTGAAGAAAAAGAGGAGACAAGAGAAAGATTGGAGGAGACTACGAAGGAAACTACCGCTCTTGCTGAAGAGGGACACCAAACCATCCCCGATGATAATCTGCCTATTACTCGAGCGAGTAACCCCGTTGACTTGGTAAGTGCATCTATCTTTTCATCTGTCTACTCCCCATTCCATGTCACGTCATGACAATACCTCACCCTTTTTTGCAGGGCATGGCTAGTCTCGATGACAACCTCGTATTTTTGAAAAACTTTGAGAGTCAATTCTTGACAGAGGATCCTGTCCCCGCAAGCAATCCTTCTCCTTCCTCCATCAAGGATGCTCTGACGACTGTGGGTGAATTCCTGACCCTCTCCCCTGAAGAAGCCATGGGGGCTTTAGACACAAAGTGGCCTCAAGAAGCCTTCGACCTCCTTACCAAGCTCGAGCTTCACCTCCCAATATCTGGGATAGATATGGGGAATATGCTACTAATGCAGAGTGCTTCCTCGGAGATCAAGTCGTGGTTTGCCGCCATTGAGAGTGCTCGCGAGCTTCGGGACAAGTTGGTACGTGAAGAAGAGACTAAAGCCACCACCCACTCCTATCTTCAAGAGGAGTTGGCCAAAGGAAGATCTACATCATGTGAGGTGTCCTCGTTTCAATCTAAGGAAGCAACACGCAAGGCATGCATAGATGAACTGAAGGTAGAGCTCCAACATCTTGAAGAAGAAAAAACTCAAGAGAGGACTAGAAAAGAAAACTTGGCACGAGATCTTCATGAGTCAGCAACCAAGGTCCGTGCTCTTCGTGGGAAAGAAGAATCTCTCATGCCTATGAATGAAATTGCCCTTCAACGAGCCAAGGCTATCCAGATTGATCGTGAGAACAAGTCCAATTCACCAAGTTAAAGGCTAGCTTCGATGAGATCCTCAAGACCCTTGATGCTTGAAGCAACTTTGTTTTGTTTTTCTTATACTTTTGAACAGTCGGTTTAGCCATCGTTGTGGCTTTTGATTTTGTCTTAAATTTTCAAACTTCATGGATTGCTTCTCGTATGATTGCTGATTTTTTCCTTCTTTCAACTCCCACATTTTCTTATTCTTTTCATGATCTAGACGAGCCATGTGGTTTGAAGTAGTTGACGGTTCATATACTTAACCAAGTTTTTGCTTTCGATGATCAAGCCAACACGAGCGGGTGAAACTCATCATCAAAATTTAGCCAATTCCTTAGCCAAATTTTGGATATCATGTCAACCCACGATGGCAAGAGGCTTGTTCCCTGCCTTAGCCAAATTTTGGATATCATGTCAACCCACGATGGTAAGAGGCTTTTTCTGTGCCTTAGCCAAATTTTGGCTTTCGATGACTCAAATGGACATGATCTGCCTCCGACCTGCCCGTTTATGACTTCTTCAAACAAATTAAGCGGCAATCCAATTAATCACATCTCTTCTCACTGTTCATGGTTTTTTACCACGTAATTGGAGTACTTTGCCCACAAATGACGTAACCAATCCAAGATGAGCTAACGTCATGGCCATTTAATGGTTCTTCGCCAGAAGACACCTCGCCTTCTTCCCATCTCACGTTTGCAGCAGGGAGCAAGAAACTCCTCTTCTTCTTTTTACGCCCACGTGCGAGAGAACAAGTCATAGTCGAGTGGGAGACAAATCTCCACTTCCTCGCCCGCATCCAAGGTGGTTTATTTTTTACTTAGAATTTTTCACGTCTAAACATCATTCGTAGCTAACCAACCATCTCGGTGTTAACTCGTTAGGTCTCTTTTCCTCACATTCACATAGAGCCGACTATATGGGTGACGATTAAACTTAGAATACTCCGAATTTTTTTTCGTGGCTACTTGGAACAAGTCAACATGGCATGGGACGACCTGACGACTAGGCATGCCACGCCATGAAAATAACTTAGCGAAATTAAGCTTGTTGGCATCCCGCGTCCCATAGTGAAGGGACGTAGGACTTAAGATACTTGCCATTAATAAGTCGATCATGTAATACCCCATCGATATCTTTTAATAGATATGCTTCGTTAGAACGAGTGGCATGGACAATGAAAGGGCCACGCCAATTTAGAGACCACTTGCCAAACTTGGGATCCTTGTCCCCAATGGGCAAATGCAGCTTCTACACTAGCTCCTCCTCTTCGAATGACTTACGCTTAACCCTCTTGTTGTAAGCTCGTGAAACTTTCTCTTTTTGAACTCTAATGTTATCAAGAGCTTTTAGTTGCACCTCATCAAGATCACACAACTCTAGCATCATAGACTCATAATACTCTGAGGAAGTGAGCTCATGTTGACGCATGTATCTCAACGACTTGTCAGTCACCTCGACTGGCAAGAAAGCTTCATGTCCGTATGTCAAGGCAAAGGGAGTCACCTTCGTGCTACTACGAGGGGACATGCGGTAAGCCCACAAGGCTTCAGACAAGTGCTCATGGCACTTCCTCGGATTGTCTTCTATCATTTTAGACAAGATTTCCTTCACCACTTTGTTGGATGCTTCAGCTTGACCATTAGCCTGAGCATAATATGGGGGTGGAATGTATGATTTTGATTCCATGCTCCTTGGCAAATTCCATTACCTCCCCTCCCGTAAACATGGTACCTTGATCAGCTGTTATGGTGGCAGACAATCCAAAACGATGGATTATGTTCTCTTTTATGAACTTAATTACTTCACCTTGATTCACCACCGTCATCGGCTTAGCTTCTACCCACTACGTGAAGTAGTCAGTTGCCAAGATAATAGAGTTGTGTTTATCAAAAGAAGCTGGGTAGATCTTCCCAATCAAGTTCATTGCCCAACCGAAGAATGGTCGTGGCTTGATGATAGACTTCAGATCAATTGCTAAAGCTCTTTGAACGGGACCATGTCGTTGACAAGCTTTACACCCCTTAGCGAAAGCAGTGCAGTCCTCTGATAGACCATTGATTACACATGTTTTTACCCCTATCCTTGAGTCGTTTGAGATGTCGATTCTCGCATTTTAGGCCGATTTCACGCTAGGTTGTTCTTGTTTGTGATATTTCAGGTCCTAGTACGTGAATGAAGGTTTAGGAACGAGTTCGGGGTCGATTGGACGAAGTTTGGACGTTTGGCGAGAAGCTGAGAAGCCACACATGCATGACTAAAAGCCACACGACCGTGTAGGGGGACCCCTGATGGCCGTGTGGAAATTCCAGGGAACTCACACGGGCACCCTGGGAAGCCACACGACCGTGTGGGTCGTGGTCGTGTAGGGAGTCTGAAGCCACTTATCAAAACGCTGCGGTTTGCACAACTCACACGGGCAGCTGGGAATGTCACACGGCCCTGTGGCCTGGCCGTGTGAGTCGGGATTTTCTGGTTTTAAGCCAATTTTCAGTACAGGATAAGGGATTTCCGAGTTTTAGAGAAAGAGAGCGATTCCTAGAGAGAGAGAGAGCGACGAACCAGAGTTCCCAAGTGCCCTAGCTTGATCTTCATCACCATTGGAGCTCGGCTTACACTTGGAGAAGTGCCGATTGACGACCAGGAGCAGATTCTCATCCTTCACAGTATGGTTTCCGCATTTGAATCTGCTTTTGCTTCTCTCTCCATGGAGTAGTTTTCCCATTCATCTGGGTATGGAGAACCCTAGATTTGTGTGTTAGGTCTGATTGTATGAACCCAAGTACAGATTCTATGATTTGATTATATTCAATTGAGGCTTGAATGATTGAATGACTTGAATCCTAATCAAATTCCTATTATTTCTGCTTTAGCCTAGAAAGAGAATATCTGCCTAGGTTGATAGAGCACCCTTAATTGAAGGTAGTGAATTGGCGACTTTAGTCGAGGAGCCAATTCACTATTTTGTACCGAATTTACTTCGGTAGTGGAGGTTTGGTTCGTTAGGGCCTCAATCTGTTTACTCCGGTGGAGGTTAGTCGCCCGCTGGGGACTCAGATTGAGAGGGTCTGGAGACCTTTAGTCGAGACTTCAGACTGCTTAAGAACCTCCCGCAGTATAACTATCATTAAAACTGAACTTGGTAAATTGCAATCCGGCTTGACTGCAGTCTAGGGGGAACCATATCCGGGTGACCTCTCTCGACTTGAAACAACCGTTTAATTGCTTTGCTTGTTTGCTTAATTGAACCTGCACTAAAGTTTCACTGCTAGATAATAAGAATTCACTGAGTAGTTATCACATCTAGGACCCGGGTTGACAATAAAACCCAAACCCGCTATACTACGCTCTAGGAAGTGGTTACACTTGGCCATTTTCTAGGGTGACAGCAGGAGTGAGTCATCCTCTCCAATGGATGGCCAGTAATAGTCATATCTATGAAGTACCCATCTCATGGAGGGTCCAGCTTGATGAGCACCACATATGCCTTCGTGAACTTCTCCCATAGCTTTCAATGCCTCTTTGCCCCCCAAACACATCGATAACAAACCATCTGGTCTCTTGTTGAACAAGACTTCATCTAATAACACGTATTTCCTAGCTTTGAACTTGATGGCTCTGTCGACATCCCCATTGGGATTTTTCAAGTAAGCCACCAAAGGAGTACGCCAATCTTCGGGTTCTTCTCCATCTATTTGGAACACGTCTACTCCTTGCTTCAAACGCTCTCTCAATCGACTAAGTGTTTGCACAAAGATCAGCTCTCCTCCCTCATGGTAGAACTCCCTAAAACCCGAAGGCAATTGTGCTAAGTAGTTGGCCTTGGCATTGTCTTGTCGAGGCACAAACTTGATAGATACGTTGTCAAAGTGAGTTATCAAGACTTGGACATACTCGAGGTATGTCTATAAAATGAAATTGACACAACGAAAATCACCAAGTACTTGGTGGACCACGAGTTGTGAGTCCCCTTCGATGTCAACGCTCTTAGCTTTTAAATCTACAAGCATCTCCATCCCAACCATCAACACCTCATACTCGGTCTGGTTGTTAGTACATAGAAAATCGAGAGTAAAAGCAAAAGACATGGTATGCTCAGATGGGGCAGTGAGCACCACGCCGCCCTTACTCCTGAACGTGTCTTCGAGCCATCGAAGTATAGAATCCAAGGGGTTTCACCCACCATCCCTATCTCTACTAACTCGGGTGGCACGTCCACACATGGGTGGTCGGCCCAGAAATCAGCTAAGGTTTGGCCTTTAATGGCCTTTTGTGGTACGTACTGTAAATTGAACTCAGATAGAGCAAGTGTCCACTTACCAATCCTCCCATGGATGATTGGTCGGGACAACATGTATTTAATCAAATCGGTCTTACAAATGAGTTGTACTTGAACATACATCAAATAGTACCTTAGCTTCATACATGAAAAATATAAAGCCAAACATAACTTTTCTATGGCAGAATATTTTTGCTCGACTGTGTTTAACAATCTACTTAGAAAATACATGGCATGCTCATGACCTGAATCATTATCTTGAGCCAACAGACACGCAATAGATGTGTTATTGGCTGAAAGGTACAACTTCAAAGGCCGACGTGGAATGGGAGAGTTGAGCACTGGCGGTCTTGCCAAGTACCTATTGATGTCATCAAAAGCTTGCTGATGCTCTTGACGCCATACAAAATCCTCCTCCTTCTTTAACTTCAGCAACGGGGAGAACACTTGAGCCCGACCCGCACAATTCGAGATGAAGCATCAAATGTAGTTAACTTGGCCGAGGAACCCTTGTAACTCCCTCTTGTCACGTGGTGGCATGGCCTTTATGATGGCCTTGGTCTTGCTTTTGTCAACGTCAATGCCACATTGGCTCACAAGGAACCCTAAGAAGTCACCTTCGGATACACCAAATGCACACTTAAGTGGATTTAGTTTCAATTGATGGCTTCTCATACGTAAGAAAGCCATGCATAAATGAGAGAGGTGTTGTCTTTCTACCTTGGACTTGACAACGATGTCATCCACATACACCTCCACCAACTCACCAATCAAGTCATGAAAGATAGTATTCATAGCTTGTTGGTAAGTGGGACCCGCATTTCTCAACACAAAAGGCATGACCACCCATTCATAGCATCCAATTGCTCCTAGACACCGAAACGCGGTCTTAAGGATGTCTTCCTTGGCCAAGTAAATTTGATTATAGCCTGAGTAACAATCCATGAAAGAAAAAGTTTCATGCATAGTCACTGCATCGAGCAACATGTCAGCAACTGGCATGGGGTATTCATCCTTAGGAGTGGCTAGATTCAAATTCCCAAAGTCTACACATACTCTTATCCTGCCATTCTTCTTTCTAACTGACACTACATTAGACAACCACTTCACATACCTAGCCGTTCTTATGAACCCAACTTTTAACAATCGTTCCATTTCTTTATTTATCTCTAGCAAGACCTTGTAAGCAAAGCGCCTAGGCGGCTGTTTGTAAAGCCTAAATCCAGGACTAATTGACAGTCTATGCTCCACCAATTTTCTATCTAGACTAGGCATCTCATGATAATCCCACGCAAAACAATCTTTAAATTCTTTCAATAAGTTTATTAACTCATACCTGTCTTGCTTAGAGAGCATGGCACTAATGAAAGTTGGGCGCGGGTCTTCTTTAGTGCCAAGATTGATCTCTTCTAGGATATCACGAGAAGTCATGTTATCCTATTCTTCCTCAGCTATACTTGGTCCCTCACCTTCTTCAGGCAAATCCTCTTTGGGAACACACTCGGCCACCAACACAGGCTCCTCCCAAGCTAGCCTCTGTTCAAACTGATAAATGGCCAACTTCTCCATCAAGGTCTTGACTTCGGCCTCCCTCGCCACCTTGTCTTGTGGTGGCTTACTCATCATCATCTTTTGCTTAAACCTTAGGTAGACCATCAAGAGATATGATAGATGGTCTCACTATCTCCGAGAGTGGATCGATGCAAGCCTTGCTCAACACCTTGGCACTCGAGAATACCACGGTACAAGACCCACCATCCATACTTCTAACTTGCAATGGCCCAAATTCTCCATCGTATAGTGGAGCTTCGGCCATGTTGGCTCCCACGGCAAAAGGCTTGGTGTCTACTTGTACTACTTCGACCACACCTTCCTCCATTCTAGAACATCAAACATTGATGAAGCGAAGATGGGACACACTTGTTGGTATGGATCCAGTCTCTTCCCAACAAAGCATTGTAACTTATCACCCCATCGACAACAAAGAAAGCATACATCCTTTCTTGACTACCCACTCTCACCATAATTGGCAAAATTCCTCTTGCCGAAGTTGAGCCTACATTAAAACTTGTCACAAAGATATCTGTAGGAATCAAATCACACGTGCTCTTCCCAATTTTCCTTAACATACGTATTGGCATCACATTGACAACAGCTCTGTTGTCAACCAAGACTCTTGACATGGGCACACCATCAAGTCTAGTCTTGACGTAAAGGGATTTCAAATGCCTTATCATACTCGGCTCGAGATCTTTGAACACCACCAAGTGGCTTGACTCGTCACTTTCATTTTCCTTCATAACTTGTTTTCCCTTCGAGGTGGCTACATGCATGACGGCCTCTTCTTCTGGTGTGCCTTCATTGTTTTTGAATGAACTTTCTTGCTCCTCCTCGAACCCCGATCCCCATGTAGGGTTCTCAATGGCCAATGATGATGTTGCTTCAGGTCCCTGGTACAATACGTAGAATGGGTACTGACCATCATCTTCTCCAAGCAAACCAACGTTCCTATGGCCTGCCTCGTGGAGTTCCCTCAAACTTTGTTGAGAACTCTTGCCATGCCGTCTCGACAGCTAGATCTATCCTACTTCCCAAGCGAGACATCCTCACACTCCATGGCAACTCACTACCTTCGAGACGGGCGAATGCCTCAGTCAACTCCGCAACTGCTCCCTCTCCGTCACTTGCTTCTTCCACGTCTTCACTCTCTATATCTCCTTCACTATCTTTTTCGTTGAATTGGAAGACCATGGGCAGTATGTAGTTAGTAACGACTACCGGTGGTAAGCTTCCAAATGACCGTCCTCCTCATCATCCTTGTTGCCCCCTTTGAACATGGAGTTGGGGAGGTCATCCTCAAGCATATCATCTTCGACATATTCATCTTCGTATTCACCTTCTCCTTCAAAGTTGTCATCAACCCCTTCTCAAGCTTTGACATCACTCTGAACTTGAACCTGCTTGCCTTTGTCCGTCACGCTCACTTTGTGGTCATGGAGTTGTCCAGCTTGAGATTTGGTTGAAGACTAACTTCTCTCCGCCATTGTGTCACACCCAGTATGTTTCCACGAGCCATTGGTAATTGGCCTTGACGTGCTTGAGCATTCTTGCGCAGGAACCTTCTTCTTTGGGTCCTTGTCATCTCAGCCGTTGCTACTGGTTGTTGACGACGAGAA